TTACCTGTAGTAAAGCAGAGTGATTTTGATAATATCTGTGTCTCAACTAGAAACCCTAGATAAGGGCCATACTGCTCTAAATAGAAACTGAGGAAATACTTTGACTATTGACTCCTCACCTTTCTTGTTCAATCCTAGAGAACACTAGAGTTTCAGATCTATTTCCTACTTTAAACATTGCATATATGCCCCCCTAACTTCATGTTGAAGGCAGAAGCATAGCACTAACGTCTCATGAGTCCATAGTAAACATCTCCATGGTTAGGTTTCTGTGACTTTCACAATATTTTTCCCATAAACATTGCATTTTCTTCAGCAGATTCTCCTGAAAAAGAACCATAAATTAGAGAAGCAGCAAAAAAAAAATAGTGTAGCATTCAGACCTTCACATAGGCAAGAAACCAGAAATGAGAGATAAATTAACCCCATTGAAAATAACAGGGCCATTTTTTTTGTTCCTTTCAGATATTTGCCAAATATGGGAAGCCTGAGACTTAGAAGCCAGAAGAGATTCTGAATGGGAAACAGAGAGTCATCCGTTCCCCAAGGAAACAGACCCATGTTGATTTCTTTGTTCTTATAGGCATGGATCTTCAGAGAAATCACTTGCCCTGTGCTCCTCAGCAGCACTTTCGATTGGCCAGTGTCTGTGAGCTTCATGCTCCTGGGATTTAGAGCACAGCAAACAGAGAAAGTTCTTGTCTTCTTCACAGAAAATCTTCTTCATCTCCTTATGAGTCTCACACATGTGTTCCTCAGAGATCAGAAATTGCCAAAGACTGTTTTTTTCTGGCAAGGGCTGCCAGTTTCTTCACACGAACATTTGTTTTAAAGTCTCTTTTCTGTACCATCTGCTTGCATACAGAGAAGGTAACAAGATCTGGGAGATCATGCCAGCTAAGGTAGACACGGGGCCTACAAAAGCTGTGCCCACAGGCTAAGGTGACTGGATCTATAAAGTACTTCATGCAGATAGGGCAGATGATTTCCTTCTGGAAGGCTTGCATGATTCTGGAATCCATATTTGTGAAGAAGAA